GTCTGAGTGGCCTGTGATGGTAAGGCGAAAAGGTAGTTCATCATTGTCTGCATGGGAACCAGGGGGGTGGTTGTCTTGTGTTGATTTTACATTATTAATTTGAGGCACACAAGGTCATTGGGGCCTCTATAGTCATGAGAACCAGTTGTTATCTTAACACAGCTGTCGGGCTGAATCTGCATTGACTGATTATGCCATTGATTGGTAACACTGTGAGGGAGGCAGCCTTTCGGATATTGCTCCGAATTCAAAGCCTCCACGCAACTGAAAACATCACCTGAAAACAAGCCTTATTATTTGTACTTTGTACTGGTCTCCGCTGCGTTAACTAGCGGGGAAGCACCAGGAGTATTGTGCGAGCACGTTTTAGACACCTTCAATCTGCTGTAAGTAAATCAAATGTAAATGTCAAATTGTTGCAAACATATGCTAATGCGGGGGGGAAAAGCCTAGTGCGTGAGGGTGGGGGTGCGATGGGTGGTGGGTTGATGGGGTGGGGTGCACAAAACCAAATAGAAAATAAACATCACAAAAACTGTGAAATCTAAAACAAAGGGGGGCTGAATCCTGAGCAGCTGGCATGGAATGAATTCTTCTGGAGAGGGAATGCCAGTTTCAGAGCGCCCCGAGCATCGATTTGGAGCCAAGGCAGTAAACAGCTTTTATCAGCAATAATGATGGCATAATCCCAGCTAAAGAGGAAAGTAGCATATGGTGCAAAGCTTACAACTGCAATCCCAACAAAGTAGGGGGGATTTTCATCACTTTGTCCACTTGAAAGACACTCTGCCAATTCTTTTTTTCTTTTTCTTCTTCCAATGATCACAGTCTACACAGTGAAATTCGCTTCACTTCAAAATGCAGACATTTTTTTCTCACCTGTTGACTTCATCCAGTTACATATCTGCCAACTGTTAAATTGTACAGTGAACAATATAAACCTATGTTCATATTAGCATACACATAAACTGCAAGGTGACCCCCTTTGCCCTACAAGGGATTCTGCATTGCAATCCTGCATAGGTATGAAGTTTGGATATCGAAATTCATCGCACAGCAGAAATTACTAATGACTCTCAAACATTCAGCTGCCACCTGCATTGAAGTCAAACAATGTCTGTATTCACATTGTCAGTTTTATCGTACCCTCCTTCATTAGACCCATCAAGTTTTCCTTTTGATCAGACAACCACAGCCAGGAGACAGCTCTTTTTCAGGAGCAGAGTGTAACACTGCCAAGTAGCACTCCAGACTGGCTTCAACCTCTGTCATTGATTTTCCTCCAAGCTGTGACCATTCATTGTTTGTGACATTCTCCTGTCGGCTCTTTAACACCCTTCAACCAAATCAATTTCATATTTTTGTCAATCCCTTGCAACTGGATGAGCCAGATGGGAAGGGACGTCACATGATTTAGGATGTCGATTTTCTGGCAACTGTTTTATCTGCAGTTTTTACAACACTTGGAAAGCTGACATGATGGGTTTATTTAAAGGCATACAGTATAATAGGAGAGGCAAAAATAGGCTGGCATGCATTATAGTAGAGCTGAAACTATTAGTTATTAATGTATAAGTTGACTGACAGAAAATTAAAGAGGCAAACATTTTACAGTCAATGAATTATTTAACTCATTACTTGACTGTAGCTTGTGAACTCTGCACATCTCTTTCTTTTAAATCTTAGTAAATAGAATATTTTTGGAGTTTGGACAGTAATACTTACAGATCCTTCATTTATCATTGAAGCAGCATACAAAAAATTTGTAAATATTTATTATAACACAATAAAATGTGGTTTTAAACAATGTAGGACCATTATAAATGGTTATTAATGTAGAATATTTGTCAACTTAGAACAGACATATATTTCATGTAGGTGCTATATAATATTATCATTTATTATCGGTTAATACATTAGCTTTCACTAATATGTGCCTACAGGATGAGTTATACTTGATAATAAATTCACTTATGCTATAATTAAATAATTTAGAAATAAATAAAGTTTTTATTTCTAAAATATTTATTTTGTATTTAGTTGCCCTGCATTGTTATCTAAAACCTCTACCTCCAGACAAATAGCTGTAAAATGTAAGTCTTTGATTATTAAAGCTCAGCAGGACATCGTAATGCCTGTATTATTGTACTATATCTGAATCTATTCATTTTTATTCTGTGACTCCAACAAACAAACCATCCCACAGACAGTTCGACAGAGAAATCTAACAACCATACACTATCTGTTACGGGTCAGAAAAGGGTTCTACTGATGATGATGATGACGACGATGAAGATGGTAATACTACTGTTGGCTGTTTTCCTTCTTTGCCTTCAACCTTAAATAGCTATTTGTAAGCAGCAGTAATAGTCATGGACATGCCAAAAGAAAACCAAACCACAAACCACTTCTTTCCTCAAGTCTAACAAATGACTAAATGTATTCTTCACCTCCTCATAAGCTGAGCAGACCATATGGCTTTGCCCTCTATTATACTCTCAATATCACACACTAACAATGACAACAATAATAGCACCAGTGACCTTGACTTCCCGTCTGGACTCTAAGAATAATATTTGATAGCAATATTAAGTGCAACAATAATGAGATGAATATTCCCCCCATTTAGTGTAGACAGCTTTAGGACAAATTCTGAAGGGAGAGCTGCCTGCTGCAGCTACATGCTGGTCACTCTTAGTTGTCAGGGCTGATTTATTGCCTCCTAGCTGTTCAATTTCACATTTTGTCCTCGTCATATCCCCGACTCATGATCATTCTGCACTGACCCTTGTAGGGCAGGCAGGGAATATTGATAAAACAATTATCTGCTTGCCGTTCATTTGATTTTCCATTTCAATTACGGATTGGAGGAGGCAAAAAGAAAAGATTGCGGCATTGATTTTTTTTTCTACCTTACAACAGGAAGGAGGCCGGCTTTGATGGGATGCTTTGGTGACATGGAATCGAGGAAGCAGAGGCGCTCAGTAGTTTCAAGAGCTATGCTTCTCTTTTGTAAAGGCTTTGCTTTATGAAGCGTTTCTGCATTAAGCATGATTTAGCATGGCCCACTAATAGTATTTTAAAATGTAAACTGACATACACGCTCTGCACCTCCCTTTCATATTGCATGCCAGACAAACACATCCAGTTTGACTAAAGGTTTTCTGACTGATTATGGATTTTGACAATTCAAATGTGATGAGTGCAACAGGATGGGCTTCTCTCCGGGAGGGGTAGCAGCATGTTCACACTGATGCTGACCTGAGGTAAACACTGTATGTGCCTTGCACTCTGGAGGCCAAAGGACCCCAAAGGTCATTGCAGTTTGTCAGCGACACCATTCTACTCTCTTCCCCTTTTCTGATGGTCTGCCACTGTCTATTTGTCACTCTAAAATGACAACAGAGTTGCATCATACTTGTTTTTCCTGCAGCATTGACACAATGCTCCGGCACCTCTCCATTGTGCAATGCACTGTAACGGAGAGCACAGTGTGAGGACGATTTGGAGGCACAAAACGAGACAATCGCTGCTGCCACAGATAAAAATAAACAGAACGTAGAAAATACAGTAAAGGATTTAACCGGGATAAAGTGCGTGTTAAATGTTGAGTTTCTACAGAGCAAGCCATGTCAAATGAATCCATTACCACATAAAGTAAATAGATTCTTCTGTAAATGATTTGGAACATTGGTAATGGCTAAAGACCTAATGGGAATCCTGTAAAATAGCCTTTGGGGAGCCTGGGAAAATCTGCCTCAGTGAAGTGGCCGGCTCTTGGCCAAAACCCTGTGTAGAGGGGAAGGGGAGGAGAGGGGAGGAATAGACTTCACAGAGATGACAGAAAGCGAGAGAGGGAGGGTGAGAGAGAAAGACAGAGAAGGGTCAGAGAGAGACAGAGGGAGAGAGAAACCACACTCTGAAGAAATCTCCACCCACACGTGATGGTTAAGTTCTACTGTTAAGCATAATCGCGTAAAAATGCTGAAGACTTGAAAGGGCTGATGATAATGCTATTGCTGTCCAGTGATCCAGCGCGGTCACAGGCAGCAGCAGCAAGGCACGGTGCTGTACTACTTCCTGTATCGCAGTCTGCTTCAGCGCACACGGCCGCTCCCAGGGGATCTCACATGGCTGACCTTAAATAAGTTTGGCTTTGATCAAAGTTTAACGTTAGCACAACTGGTCCGCTTCCTACAGATCAGGGGGATCAGGGAGATGAGACCAGGGCGAGGAGGTCCTGGCAAAGCCTCCTTCCCAAAGCTCCAGTGCACCCTTCCAACACCGGATTATGTTGGGCAATTAAGGTAATGAACTGGCTAACGTAGCAGCGCATAATGATTCTTTTTATCCTCATTCTCTAAGGTGCCGGCTGTTTCTCTGACACATCTTTCTCAGCAAGACAACGTGTGATACTTTCTATTTTGTGTCCTGGTGGTTGGGGATGTCTAATAAAGAAAAATGATATCACGAGTAATAGGGGACAAGAGAAAACCACATCTACACGTCTGCTTCCTGCAGCAAAGTGAAACAGTGGAGCTCTTGTTCACGGTCGGAGCAGTAAGGAGACACCAGGAAAGTGTGCGGAAGAAGTCGAGAAAGGAAAGCACCTGTGCGGACATGCACGTCTGCCTGCACTGGTGCACACGCAAGTGAGCAGCCAGGCCTCGCGTCTATCTGTGTGGCAGTGAAAGCCCGCATTCCAGTTCCCCCAACCTCCCACCCCATCAGTGCACGACTTGTCTGCCTGCTCGCTTTTCATTTGAACACATTTTCTAGCCAAAAATTTCACTTCAATCTCACCTCATCTCTCCATACTACATTAACCCCTGGCAATTGCCTTCCAAATGACCCCATTAAGCTGTAATTGCCTCAGCAGGCCTGCTCCCTCGCTTGTAATTCTGTGCAGCGAACCCACCAGACGTTCCCCCGGCATTGTTTCATGTTCTGGCTCCCATCAGCCAGTTCAGACGCTGACCCCCCCCCACTCCCACTCCTACTTCCAACCCTCCACCACTACTCCCCACCTCCTCTCTGTCGTGGCCGGAGCTGTTGGTGCTCGCCACCGGTGGTGCCACTGGCAGACTCTCCTTCGTCTCCGCAGTGAGCTTGCACAGGAGGCGCCGTGCCCTCACTTCCTCTTCAACAGCCACACTCGCTGTCAATTACACAAGCTCATACATTCACTACAAGAGGCCCTAAACGAAATAAACCTCAGCCTGGCTTTTTATTATGTCGTTCCCTGGCATTCAATTCATAAATACAGTGTGTGCAGTATTTTGTTTGACTTGAGATAAAGAGCAGCAGCTAGACAAGATATTTACAGAAGTTCACGTCACGTGTCAATTACAAAATTAACTGTGGCGTAATATTTGTACGTTAAACCATCATTTCTCTGTTGACTTGTCATTAGGATGCTGTGGGGTGCAGGGGTGTAGCCCGCTGATGACACCCGCCATGGCACCTCCCAGCACAACTTCACCTTTTTCTTGTTCCCACCGGGGAGCTGTTGTCAAGACTGCTCAACTTTTTTGACGAAGGCCTCCGCGGATAACTAACGTGCAAATGCGGATAGGTGGAGAAAGCGATCCTGACAGTGATGTATTGCAACTAGTTGCAGGTGTCAAAAAGAAGATGCTCCGCCAGCCATCGGAGTGCATGCACTGTGTATATGCATGCGTGCACACGTCTGCGCCCATGTATGATTTTATGAATGCGTGTCCCCGCTGCACGTCATGTGTATATTTGTGTGTGTGTGTGTGCAGATGTTAGACGTGTGTGTACATGTGACTGTTCATGATGTGTCTAAGCCTTTACATGTGACCTGGTGTGGAGGGGGAATCAGACTAATAACCCATTCAACACTCCCTCTCTCTCAAGCAGCACATCCTCCCTGCTGCCCTTAACAGATTGGTTAGCTCATAAAGGCTCACTGCCGCCACAAAGTCAGCCCATACTGTCATCGTCTTCACAGCTTCTCTTAACATATATTCTTATTAATTTTTAAATAAAGGCTCTTTAGGAATGTGCAACAACATATTGACAAAATCCAGTTACCCGGTTTTTACACTGCAGCTTTTTGTAATGCGGCTGCTAAATTAATTCTAGGCCTGAGATACAAGCTTTCTCTGAACACACAAACCTTCAGCAGAGCTTTAGATCATTTCTTTCTCTCATTGCCCGTTTATTTAAATTCATTCTTTTTTGCTAAGCAAATGTTCCCAGGAATATCAAGGTGTTTTTGTTGCAAAGCTCTAACTGATCCAGGGGGATTTGCTTCCAACAGCCTGTCTCTCCCTCGCCTTTCAACACAAAACTCCGCGCTCCAATCAAAATGAACCACCAGGGACCCCCCTTCCCTCCTCCCCCCTGAGCTACGCCTGCTCCGAGTGCTGTGATAGCAGCCTCTCTGCCATTGATCGCAGAGTTTAGCACAGAGCATGCACGCCACTGTTAGCAGAAAACAAAGACCTCTTTCCCTTTAATAGTGGCGCCCGCCGTTAATGCAGCTAACGCCTTGTGTTTCCCTCCGCCCTGAAGAATGAATGAAAGAAAGCAGATAGCAATTAAAAAGGTTAACTAGGGTCCACGTCTCGTCACAACTCATCTTTTTCACACAAATCTTTTTACCTCATAAACAGATTGATATCTTTTAGGGGGGCGGCGCATGCTCGCTTGCCACAAGTGATAAAAACACGCATTCATGTCTTACTTATAATTGTGTTCCACGCCGCAAATCTAATAGCAGACGCCAAATTCAAAAAGGAAACACAGCTTTATTGATCCACCTAACACACACCAGGAGGATCTCATGAATTAGGAATGAGATAAATCACCATTAACCCCAGAGAACCCAGCTTGTGGTCGACCACTGACATACCACACTGATCTTTTTTTTTTAAATAATCAAGATAATTCTTCCTGGCAAAGTATAAATATAACTCTTCAATTAATACAGCATGTGTCTGTTTATTTAATCAAGAGCTGATTTACTTGTGACAGAGAATAAATTCTTCTATTTTCTGTGAGCCTCTATAAAATTGCCATCATTTTTAATTAATTCTTAATTAAAATATATTACACCACAGCTTCTACCCATCTCTCTTGATATTCTAACATAATCAATTCAGAACCATTTACATATCATTAATTAAAAGCTTTCCTCTCTCATCCTAAAAATCATAATGAGGGCCGATTCCTCATTAGTAACCTATAAGGGAGAAAATAACAATACTGTAGAGAATGGATGGCGCGTTCCACAGTGAGTCCTTTGTCTCGTAGTTTCTAAAAAGCATTTTTTAATGCTTCTCAATTGGATTTAAGAATTACTGAGTCAATTTTGTAGACTCAATGATAATAAGTGAAGCAGCACAGGCTCCCTCAGTATTTATTTGTGCCTCTGTGCTGCTCGCAACAGAAAAACAAAGTCAATCAGTGTCAGCAGGTGCATTGATTTTGAACTAAATTCTATTTTAACTGCACAAAACACAATTAATTCAACCTGATTGAACAGTGTAATGTACAGGAAAAGAGTTACAAATGAGAAATTCTTTAATTTAAAAAATTAAAATGTATGTCTTCAAAATATTATTTTGCATTGGATTGTGTTCTCTAAACAGTACTACAGTGAATAATGAAACTGGACTAGAATAAATAAATGTCCTAACCTTGGCTAAAAAAAAAACATGGCAGTTTTCTCTGAGCAATAAACAATTCTGCATGAATGTGAATGCCAGTTAAGCACTTGTTGTTATGCCATCAGACTGCATAATTCAATTTAACTGTAAATATTAAGTGCATCTAAACAATGGCCTAACATCATTTATTATCCAGACTTGGAAAAAAAAAGCCAAGACACACAGGGGCCCATATCTTTCCATCTCGAGCTCGCTCTTAAAGAAGAGTAATAATATCAAGTAATGATAGGTATTGTTATGCCGGGGATCAGGCACATCCTGATTTTATCGCCCGTCTCTCACAGGTGCTCTGGCGTTACTTGTCAGGACTGCATGTCTGGGTCTTCCACATGTCAGATAAAAATCGCTGCACTTGGTGTTTCGGCAGCCTGACAGCAATTTATTTGAATGTTTTGTCACACTGGTCTTGGTGCATTTTGTGTGGGCTGCTCACCGGAATGGCAACAGCTCGTAGCTTACTGACACACACACACACACACACACAGATGCATGCTGCATGTGCTGCACGTCTACTTTGGATAATTAAAACTTGTGTCTGTAAAAAAAAATCATAACGATAATATGTATAGATTGTTGGCAGACTGAACGTGTTAATTAATATTTAATACCCAACAAGGCAGGTGACACCACATTGTTAGCAGTAGTGATCCTTTTAAAAATATATTTTTACATTTACACCTCCGTGACCACACACACACACACACACACACACACACACACCACCACAAGCACAAAATAAAATGTCACACCAGCCAGTAAACAGGTAACACTGAGGTGAATCTACAAATGCAGCTGTCAAAAATTATATTCTGTATTTATATGTAAACTTATTTTTTCTTCCACTTTTCAACCTCATGTGAATAACGTCTCAGTAAATAACCCACTCGATTCAGAGCATATTAAACACAACCTCGCTGCAGCCTTGCAATTCTCCGAGCTGACATGGAATATTGAGTAAGTTAATGAAATCCTCTCAAAGACAGGAACTCTATTTTTACACCATGATAATTAAAGTACGACACAGTTATAATTTACAGCCCTCGCTTAATTGCATAGGAAAAGTAAAATGGGAGAGGTCTAAGAGACGAGATTAAATGTGTCTTTGTGTGTGTGCGTGCATGTCAGTGTGTGTGTCTGCGTGTGCGTGCACCTCTTCAGAGAGTGCATGTAGAAAGCTTCCTGTGCATCTAAACAACTGTATCTTTTAGCATCGGGGAACATATCAAAGATTAGGTAATGAAATATGCACAGTCCTATTTTTCTGCTCCTGGGCCCTTTGACAAATCGAGTACAATCCAAAATCTCCATAAATCACTATTAAAGACAAGTATATCATCACCAGCGCATATATCTTCCCCAGCCTGACCTGTAGACTAATGAGAAAAGGCCCAGACTATCTTGTCTGATTAATTAATTCAAAATGTCGGCTGTTATTCAAATGTGAGGCTGGTGTTATTTGAATAACACTTGACAGCGACGCCTGAAGAAATAATTTCTGGTTTGTGAGGCTGCTGCGGCATTACTGATGATGGCTCATGGAAATGTTAGAAGCCTAGGAGTATTTTTTCCCTCGTCGCCGGTCCTCTCGCTTTCCCTCCCCTCACCTTCTCAGTCATGATAGCTCCAAGAAGTATTTCATTACTTCAACCGCACCGCCACCACCCCCCACACCATCCACCACCCCTTCACAATTATGGTTCTTCACGTTTTTTTTCTTTCCACTGTCTGCCCTCTCTCTCTCTCTCTCTCTCTCTCTCTCTCTCTCTGTGTTTGTATTCCCTCCCACAGCCAGCCCAGATCTACAGGGCAGCGCTTTGGCTCTGCAAGAGACATGCTGGCAAAGAGGAAGGTCATGGTTTTTACAAGTGCAGCTCCCCAATGCTGACAGCCCGTGCTGCCAAAGTGACACACTCTGTTTGGCTTTCCCACGTTCATAGAGCTCCACAGCACTTTGTCTTTATCACGGAGCATGCACACACACACACACACACACACATACACACACACANCACACACACACACACACACACACACATATGCACATATCTAATCAGCCTTAGAGCTGCATTTCCTGTCATGTGCAACAGAATGATCACACGTAGAGACACAATCACAAATATTGCAACAGACAGAAGTGAAATTTTCTTTCTTTCTTTCTTTCTATCTTGGGTGGGTGGTTGGGGTTGTAGGGGAAATAGGCGCTGGAGAAAGAAAACCATGAAAGTACGTGCGAGGGCCTAGGGGCAGTGCACACCCCTGTATCGCTTCCCTCATCAAGCATGGATTCTAATCAGGGCTGGGGAGATATAAGACGCTCAGTCATTAAATAAATTAACTCTGCCACTCCATGCTCTCCTTCAGCACCCGCGAGAGGCCCGCCGTGCTCTGCATACTTACAGAGGCTCCGAGCGTCACGCACCTCACCTTCACCGCACAACCTCGCGGGCCTGCCAGCACACATGCACACGCACGCACAGGTTAGAAACTAATCTTGAATTTTTAAAGAAGCAAAGCAACCACACCTCCGGTCCCTCAACAGCTGATGTCACATTCGCACGTAAAGCTTTTACATCATTTTATTGGAAGTCCCTAAAACAGCCCTCGGGACACTTTGGGGGATGTCCCTCAATTTCACATTTAAAAAAAATCAACTTGTACATGAGTGATAAATAAAAATCTGTGGAGACCAATGCTGATTCACAGGCTCTGTGAGACAGCATAGACATGAGTTTCTTTGAGGATCCGTGCAGTGTGCTGCCATTCATCAAGAGGAAGCAAGCGCAGTGACGAACAGTAAGAGAGCTCAGTGTCGGCTCGGATCACTGACACAAACAATCAAAGCTGACACACTCTTCGTATAGCACCTGCCACTCCGGCAACACAAATAGATCAATATGAGGGGAGCTCATTCACTGTTTAAAACTCATATCCTTGCAGTCACACCATCTTCCAGAGTACTGTGATGTAAAAAGTGCACGCTTAATACATATCAATCACCCTGACAGAGGAAATGCTTATTTGAGGAGCCAACGTGAGGCAAATACACCGTGTCAGCAGAATGTCCGTTGTCAAAACTTGCCATTTGAATTTTCAACTGCGTTGTGCGGAGACAAATGTCCTTAGAAACCCCTTACGTTGCAATTTATATCATTTTAATGTGTGCTTTAATTCTCCATTACTTAAGGAGGAAGTACCTGGGAGGGTGGAGGCACATTAGAGAAAGTAAGATATGAACAGAAGGGTCGGGGGATCTCTCTTAGCAGACACAATTAAATATTCATGTGTCTCCTCCTAGGACACAACACATACAGATCATTATCATGGCAACAGCACACCACCATTTTGTTCACACGTTCGCCTCCAAATCAATGGCTGTGTGTAAAATTCCATGTGAGCAAGGGACATCACCATAACATCAGTTATTAACTCCGTTATTAGAATTAGAGATGGTTTTAGTAACAATTATCACTTAAAATAATCCTCAAGGGTTATTTAAAATATATCTGTAACTATATCATAGTGATATCCAGACTATTATTTATAAGCGTTAGAATTACGAGCAGTGGGTGAGTGTCTGTGCAAAGGTAAACAGGTATGTGTCGCTTTGAGCCACACGCCACGGGACAATACACAGACTCACAATGTTAGTGAATCATTCCAAAATTCATTACGGGCTCTCAGTCCGTCCCGGCCTGCTGCTTGAGGAAAGAGCGAGAGAAGAATAGCAGTAATGTACTCTGGATGACCTCCACTTTCTAAAGAGAGGAGAAACCAGCTTCTTTTTTTTTTGCTTTTCAATCCTGATCAAAAGAGGAGCGAAAAGAGAGACAGCATTCCCCTGCTCGCCATCATTAATCATAGCTTTCTGGGAGCAAGCGCATATTAATTTCTGTCATCCCAAACATCATTTGGTATTGTTATGCCACGGCTTAGTCCTCATTCACCAGCAGACGCCGGCCGTTCCTCCCGGTTTGAGGGAAGACAGGGCCTGTGTGGCTGCGTTTCAGAGCAAGAGGCCTTTATCCCTGGGGCTCTGACACCAATTAAGCCATTTCACCGAGAGACGAAAACAGGGCCCGCAGTTTCGCTGTAACATGAGCCAGCATCTAGCTGCTGGCCCCTCGCCATCTTTCCATTACTTCAGACACAAAAATGAACTTCAAGGACTTAAGAAAATAAAGAGTGTATGCTTAGTGAATAGTCATACTGACTCATGACAAAATTACCCAAAAAGCAGTTTCAGGTCTGTCATTAGCTCCATTACTGCAATTATTTTAAATTATTTTAAATACAGATTTAAACTCAGAGGCAGTATCAAAACAATGTGATCGTATTATGCCACAGCTGATAAGAAAAACGCTCAGTCTGCACCTCCCTTTACGTCTTCTTTCTGCCTTTTGGCAACAGCAGAGTGGAGCTTGTCTTCGGGCTAAAGCAGAATAATGCAAGGGTTGTTATGAATTAAATATTAGAAATCTTAACACAGCAGCCAATAAGAATTATTTGCCTTATTAAAGCAGCAGAAGACGCTGATTAAAATTTCATTGCATTGCAGTCTTTTTCCCATTTCTGCCTTCAATACATCATTCTAATGTATGAAATGTGGAACAATAGCACGTGGAACAATGGGAAGAGGGGACTTTATTTTCTGGCTTGCAAATAATGAAAAGAGCTCAGATTTTTTTCTGCTTTTGGAAAACAATCGTGTGTAAAGAAAAGAAAAGAAAAGGCGACAACAATGTTTTATTCAGTTTTTGTCGAGAAACAAGCTGTACAGATGGCTAAAGTGTCAAAATATTACAAGTGAGCTTTAAAGTGTGTACATTTGCTGACGTCTGCCTCTTATTCCTTCACCACGTTATCGACAGAGATTCGTCACCTGTCGGAGTACCGCCACACACACACACATTCACACACACACACACAATTTTGTAGACACTTTGTCTTTGAAAGAGTTTAAATAAAGTAAAGGTTACATGAGCCAAAGGTAAAGCAGTGACAGTAGCAGGATTGTTTTCAGTGTTGTTGCCCTCACAAATGATGGGTCATTTAGTTGTCCACATGTAATGTGTGCAGGGTAAATGAACATCGTGGTGTCCATTGTCCCATGAGGAAAACTCTTCCCTGAAACACTAGAGCTAATGAAATAGAGACCTATAAATAGCAGAGTCATTACTGAGAGAGGACTTGCTTTGCACCACTCATTCACTGTAACCCTTTTTACACTAATAACTGGCTCCATGGAGTTCTACGTACTGTAGACGCAGCCACCGAGTGACACAGTAATGAACGTCCTGACACAGGAGACGCAGCGAGAAGTTCATGTTAAAATAAATAGAGGTGAGCGATGAGGGAATAAGCAACTTTTTTGACCGGTTCAAAAGTGCTATCAAACTAAATAACATAATAATTATACAATATGTATTATGAGAAATACATAATTATAATCAAATTCAAAGTATTTTTTTCATAACTACAGCTTGTTGGTTTGCTTTGAAAAATATATATTTTCTGGTGCTAAAAAATTACCAAAAGTGTAAATTAGACTTTGTAATTCATAGTATCTAAAATGTGTAAAAATGCTTGTTTTTGGCATTATGCTCATTCACAGCAGTTAAAACTCCTAAAAAAGGAAATAATGGTTAAACTATGTCTGAGGTCAAAGGTCTTCTACAGTTTTGACAAGAGCACATTTAAAAAAAATCTTTGCTCAGTCACATCTCTATTCAGCGTCTCAGGTCATCAATTGAACTACAGCTTCTTTTCCCTACTTCAGGTTTATAATTTTACATTCATCCAATAAAACAAACAGATTCCACTAGAAGAGAAAGGGCAACGCAAAGTGTCTCCAACAGCCATGTTCCTACTGCTGTAAACTCATTTCAATCAATCCTTCCTGTTTGCATCCAAAGCAGCCACTGCTGGCTGCCACCGCCTGAAGATAACTATTTCACCACCTCTGTCATGCCTAATTAACAACTCAGATGTACAATTCAGAAATTTCGCAATTAACCTACTAAAATATTGTTGGAGGATGCTAATTGTTATGCCAGTTGCCATAAAGACTCATTTGCATAACGTATGTGCAAAAAACAATTATGAGCTGTTGATCGCGCAGGAGCCCGCAGAAAGCGCTTGGAGCGATGGAGGGGGGGGGGGCGACGGAGACGTGTGCAAGATGGGTGCTCGTGTGTGCAGATGGAGGGACAGCACTGAATCATTGTGCAAAAAAAATAAAAAAACAGATTTGAGGAGCCGTACGTGCAGATACCAGGCACCACTGGTGCACAGGCATCTATCTGCACAGCACAAAAGCAGTTCCCCTTCCAAATGAAACTGATATGTAAACCCTTTGTTTTTTTACCCTCTTCTCCTCTTTGTCTGACTCTCTTTTTCGTTTCATCTCTACTGATGGGGAAACGGAGGGTATTCGGGAGCTTCTTAGATAATAACCACGTCTTCCCCCGGTCCCCCTCATGCTTCAGAGGAGGAAGCTCTGTAGTGGCCCTGCCTTTGAGGCAGCCAGGAACCCAGCTGTGCCCGAGCCATTCGGCACAACACTATCTAGTCACTGCAGCCGCTTCACTGGGGCTCTGTGAAACAAAAAGCAGCCAAAGTCAATTGTCTCTGCTGCTGAATAGCTTTCTGTTCTCCGTTGTGTATTTCATTGGAGCTTCTTCAGCACAAAGAAAACCTATAAGGTAAAAAAAATACAGTCTAATAAAATATATTTGCTTTTTCTGCATAATGAGAATGATTTTAGCAGCATCTGCTTTCATAATAATAATAATAATATAAAAATAATAATACATTCACATTAATAATTATAACCCTATTGGAATGAGGAGGCTCATTAACTTTGTCAGGGAACATTGAAATTAATGTTCCCTGTAGATTTCAGAAATGCTTACCTCCTCAGTCCTAACTCTATTTACTCCAGGTAATGCTTTTAGTCAGCCTTGCATGTGGTTAATTACAGCCTCATCCTGAACTGTATTTAGTTAAAACAGTCTTTCCTGGCTGATCATTACATATAGCAGAGGCCAAACCAATGCACATACTTGGAAGCATGGCTTGGCGATCTCTCCAAAAGCCAAATCAAATACGGCGACACTGGCTCCGGCTGTGCAGCGTATAGTCCCTCCCTAATCCAGTGCTTTAAACACTGCACCGGGGCATTTATCAGTCTGCATCCACCCCACTCTCTCTCTCTCTCTCTCTCTATCTCTCTCTTTCTTCCTCCCCTACCTCTCCAGACCCCCCGTTTCTGGACCTGACGAGTCAAAGGTCAGGAAAACAACAAGTCAATATGCGGCCAAAAGAAGCACCATGCAGCTGAGAGAGCTGTGGAGAGGGCTAAGCCTCTCCGTGGCACTCTGTGATTTAGCCTG